CCAGCTATCGTCCACTTAGTGGAAGCCACTCACAATTAAAAAGCACTTCTGAATGAAGGGACTTGCAGTCAGGAATAAAGATTTCCCTTACTGTTGTTATCAAAGGACACATCCACATTCAAATCTAGTACTGTGTGGACAAAATGTGAACAGCAGAATTCAAAAGCAATTCACAAAGCAAATCCAAGTAATTTTTACCACCACAAAGGGACAAAACCAATCAAACCAAAGAAACCCAAAGCCAGCCAAAAAAACCTAAACCAACCCCCCAAACCACCATTTCAGTTTAGAGCAACTTCATGGAAAGCAAAGCCAGATACTTTTGGGGTCTCTGCTAGCGTTAATCACAATTCCCTCCACTCCATGGAAAACTGAATTGTTTGTCTCCATGGTTTAAGAAACATTAGAAAGTATTTCCAGCTGGAGAAACTGACCAACCAGCACTCAGAAGTTCCAAGTTTCCAGCTCAGAAGATCCTCATTTTGCATTGACAATGTTTCTACTGAAAAGCTGAAGGTTTTGGGGAGTGGGGAGTTTTCTGGAGCCTCCCTCCCTACCTCAAAACTGTATTTTTGGCTGCAAACCTTTCTCCACTGAAGCACAGATTATATATAGAAATATTTGGTTCAACTTCTACCTCTGCCGATGCCTGATACAATTTGAGGCCATCTGAGTTGGAAGTTGTTTTGAGTTGCTGGTGTGATGCCCTTCTGTATCATTTTCTCTCCATGGCTGATTGATCCTCCCCCATTCACACATTTATTAACTTCAGCTGACTGTTTTTTATGAAGAACACTCCCATGTTCCTTGATCTGCTTCCTGTTTAAACAGCAATTCTTTGAAGAACATTCTTTAATCAATTCATTGCTACATAGGCAATGGGATTGCTGCCTTTAAAAATAAATAAATAAAGCTCCTGCTCCCCATGGGAAGGCAGGAGGGTAGAGAGAGAATTTATGATGAGAACTTGCAAGGGGAACAAATAAAACCTTGAAACTGGAAATGGGAGGCAAGAAAGATGTTTCAGCAGCATATCTTGATCAGAAGATTTTTTTTTGGTTGAACATCTAAAGCCAGGTATTGGTCTGCAGACATCTATAGAGTCCTGGTGAAATAAATGCAGCTGAATCAAATGATACCAGCTGGCGATAAATCTCAGCTGCTGACATAGCACAGCATGCTCTGAATGCTACAGCTCTGCTGCAATAACCCTGAAGGCCTCTTTAGTCTGGACATCCATACTCCAAGGCCTGAACTATACCACGCAGTTCACTCATATCTTTTATGTGGAAACAGAAGCAAGTGAACCTGCCTGCAAATAACATCACAAAGTGAGCTCAACAAGTAGTTGTCCCACTCAGAACAAAGACGACTGAAAACTTTCCTGTCTGTGTTGTACAACAAAATACACCTAAAATAAAGGCAAGCAGCATCATTCATTTCCTGGCGTTTGGTGGCAAGTGGTGGGACACTGGTAATGGTGGCCTGCCTCTGGCAGGATGCTGAGTGACCTCATACTCACTGTGGTTCATGGTCATTTCTCAGCAGGGAAAGATAACAGCCTGCAGGCTCAGTGCAGTGTTGTCAGGCGAGGTGCCGCTTTGGGCTCATTCTGCTGTTCACTAATCACATGTGGTGCATTCAGAGGGAATATGAAAAGAGATGAGAAAGACAGACAAACCACCGTGATGGTGTTGCTGTAATCCAGCGCCAAGGATCTTTTCACTTCATGTTCAGGAGAGCTGCTCTTGATAGTGTTAGCGCTGTGCAGAGCTGTCACATACCCCTTGCCTTGCAAGATCTGTTAGTGTGTGCGGGGCAGGGGGGAGAGAAAACAAACTAACAAACAAAAAACACCCAAACCAAACCCCATTATGATTCGAGATTTAAACCTGACAGCCTATCAGACAACTTGAAAAATGATTAAATATCTGGCTGTTCTTCACATGGTGTTCTGACTGGAGGTGTAGGGAAAATGATTTTCTTTTAGGACCAGGTTCTACCACATCATATTGTGCAAACCTCCCAAGGGAAACAGCTGAGAACAGAAGGAATTACATGGAAAGGGAATGAACTCAGCTTATTTGGGTATGAGCTGACACATGCTGGATGTGGCAGATGAGAGTATAAGTTAGGAAAAGTACCGTTTGGGAGAAAAGATGTCATGAATGATATCACATGATGTATCTATTGATATCTATATATATATAATTTATATATATATATGTAATTTATATTAAAGTATTTTCTCCTGCATTTGCTTTGAAGTCCAGTGCTTAAAAGCCTTCTGAACAACTATGAACTTCAGAATGAAAGAATGGCTGCATTTTCCTCCCCAGAGTGGAGAAGGGAGAGTGGCTTGCTTCCCACTCCACACCCGCAAGGTAAGTGCACAGTGTAGCAGTCCCTTCAAGCCAAGCTCTGTAATTGCAGCTTCTGCCAGAGTGAGGGGTCTCATTCAGTGAGAGGGAGAAAGAGGCAAATCCTATGGCCCCAAGCTTTAAGGGGATTCATTACCATGCAAAATGGCTGATGAAGCAAGTCTTCAGAATGGCTTTCACTCCCAACAGCACCTCATTAGGAGCACAAACTGTCATGATAAAGAATGCAAATGCATCCCAGCCAACCTACCCTCTTAATGATGCCAGGCACAGTTTCTTATGTTAAATAATGCATTTTCTCAGCCACAGCAGAACATCTCACCTACTTTCAAGCTTTTAGAAAAATCACAGTATTTGCGTAATCCCCATCATATCAAAGAACATTTTTAATATCAGCTGGAGGAAAGGGGTCGCTCCCATTGCTGGTAGCTTTCCACCAAAAAGTGGGTATCATTTGATTCTACATAAACCAGAGTGCAACTTTTCTGGGAATACAGATCTCCAAATACGACACACTCAAGAGAATCTACAAACACACTCATGTATCAATATAAAGTTCATAGCTTGAAGCCATCTACCAACTGCTTTATCTCTAAAGCCGCTATTTTACACACACACTTTTACCTTGAACACAATCCTCAGGTTAATATTAACTCCCCCAAATAATTGATTTTCAGCTCGTAACCAAGACGTTCTGTACATTGCAAAGTGCACTATCTTAGCTAAAGATGACAAGGACATTTCAGGATTTCATACTGTAGCTGCTCTTACCATGATGGGAAAGATCAGCAGCATGCAAACACACTGACACTAAATACACTGAAATGCAGCAATACAATTTATACCACAGAACAACAACTGATACAGCTAAATCAAGAAAAACATTCTTAATCCTCATTCTCTAATATTTAACTCCTTTAGTTTGGAGATATCAGGAACCCAACAGGTTTTTTTATACCTCCTCCCATACTGCAACACCTGGAAGTTTGCATTTGTCCCACGTGTACTTGGAAAAAAGTCAGAGGGTGCAATCTTGAAACCTGTTGGCTGCAGCCTCGGAGCCCAGGGAAAGCAAGCAATCCACACATAGGACCTGCAGGATCCATTCTGTTCTGCAAGGTCACAAGAAGGTCTTCAGAGAGCCTAAGACTGCTGTTACAAACAATGACAAGATTCTGCACAAGGCCCAAGACATCTGTTAAAGCCCAAGGAAGAAGTCAAACTGGCAGAACTCTTTCATTTAGAAAGGTAACTTGTACTGCATAGACAATTCTTGCTCCTTGGGTAAGAAATACAGCAGCCCCTGTTCAGAGCAGACTGCAGTCTAGGAGCTAATACCTAAAATGCCTTCACCTGAAAAGAACTGCATACACGGAGAAATAAAGGCTAGATTAATCCAGTGTCCCTGTGATGCAGGAGGAAAAGGGGGATGCCTGGTGTAAGATAAAGCAGTGAAACAGCTGAAAATCTGAGCTAATGATCCTGTAATTGTGTTTCCAAACTGCCACCCCATTTGGATCAAACCTGCTTTCTGCCATGCCACAGAAGTAGATATTCTCTGAACAAGTTGGCTCCAGCAGCTTTGATGCAAAAGTTTGTCTTGCGATTTATTCCTTCCATCTGATGATAATTTCTGAGGGAAAGCAGAAATATTGAACTTCCATCAAAGCAAGCTAACATAGCAGTAATGATTTCAGGAAGAAGGATTATGCAGATCACTAGCTTTCAAGTCCATGACTTGAATCACCAGTGTGATTGATGCTGAAGGGGCTCAGCCTCCTGCATCTCAGCATAGAACATGGAAACTGCAATTTCAGGGAGCAGAAAGGCTGATTTCAAGGATACAGGCTCTTTATCACTGACTTGTTGGAGCTGCAGGTGAAGAGCTTTGGTACAGTCCTCTTACTGGCTGTGTACAAAGGAGACTGCCCACAATTAACACAACTGGTTATCAGGCTTGCTAACACTTTTCTAACCCGGAAAAGAACATTACAGAATGTTAGCCAAGGTGGCTGGGATTTTAAGAAAGACAGACAAAAATACCAGTTAGGTCAACACCTCAGAACTAACTGGTGAGAAAGAGCCTGGAGATGGCTAAACTTCGTTGTGAGATGCAGCTAAAACAGAGCACTATCGACACCAGATAAGAAGCAGCACATTTTGTCCTCCCTTAAGACAGGCATATATTCCTGAGATCAAGTGCCAGTTGGTCTGTAGCTGCTGAGGCGGCTCTTCAAACCCAGGGCTGATCCCAGTTCCTGCAGAGCAGCGTTTTACACTGGCAAGGAAAGTTAACTCCTCAAGCCTGGAGTAGGAGGGGGGCAGTAGTGGAAATGAAGGTGAGTTGAGAACCAAGTTCCCCTTTGGGAAATGCTGGACTTGACTACCAGCAATGCCAGGGGTCCTGAAGAAATGTAAGCCTCTTGTACCCCTTGAATCTCCCTTTTAAGTAACGGGCAACACCAGATCTTGATCCAGCACAAATTCAAGTACCTCATTAATACAATCGCTCAAAGTCACTCCCCATACCTGCAGACAAAGTTCATTTTTTTTTTCGGGGAAAAATATGTCTATATTATCACCTCCATATTCACAAATAATGTCTTACATTTCTAAGGATATAATTGATGCCTGGGATTTATTGTAACAGTAAAGGCCACTATTATAATGACTTTAGTAAGAGTCATGAAATATTGTGGAAGTGAAGAACTGCAAAGTACTCTGGCTCATTTGACTCAGGAACAGGCACTAGATTTGCAAGTCAAATCAGTTGAAGATATTATATAATTGGATGAATAATCAAAAAATGCTCATTAAAGCATCAAAAAGATGCTGATGTAGCAGAATGCTTTCCTCTGACCTTCATTGTTTCGCATTGTCCATTTTGACTGTTTCTTGTCCCTGCCAAACAGAATAAATTCAGTCCTTAAAATGATCACCCAGCAGCACTGCCCCTTTCAGCTAGTTCCACCATCCATTACAATGCTCTTTTATCCTTCTGTAAGCAATGCCTGCCCAGAGGTGGGAATCTTGTGAGTTCACCCTGTTTCCAATGTTAGAAGAGGTCATAAGACCAAGATGAAACTATTCTGGTGAGCAATTACGTAAAAGCAAGGAAAAAGCACAGCATTAACTTGCCCTTCTACCCGTGTCACTGACATCAACTGCTTGGCTGTCTGCAGTTTTAGGGCCTAAGATCAGTGATCCAGATGATCCCTACTTAGTCCCACATACCCCTCCTCTGCACATACAAACACGGCACCACAGGCAGGTTCCCTAAAACAAATGCCTCCTGGTTGGCTGTACATTAACATGCTGGCATCCAAACCAAACTGTGAACAAGTATTAAGGTTTTTAGGCCAGAAGCCAAAACATTAAGTGCCCTGATAACAAGATAACAAAACTATTTACAATTCACACCACAGCTGCCTGCATCTAAATGCAGTCTTCTGTGCTTTGGTAGGCACTCTGAAGCTCAATTCTACCATAGAGAGAAAGAAACACAACCAAGCCTTTAACCCTCCAAACCACAAAAAGGCGATTACAACATAACACAGCAAAAGGAAGGTAGAACACACGTCACTTAATTAAGTTTTAAGCAGAACTTGAGGACTGACATCTAAAACGGCTCCACTAAGTGTTGAGGACCCCATAGTTCCTGACACCGCATCACTTGAAAGTACCGCTAGTACCTACAGCTCTGTCCCACCCAAACTCCCCTGGCTTCCCCCAGGGCTTTGCTCAACTAGTCACCACCTACCCATGCTCTAAGCTTTCTATAGTTTTGGTTTAATGATGTTCAACAGTAAGATAAATACAAGGTATAAGAAGGGTACTGTCGAGTCTGAGAGGGAGAGCAGTGAAGCCCCTGAGCACGTGAGGGGCAGCAGGGGGCTTCTCTGACAGATTCCTGTTCAGAGGAGCTGCTCAAAACTGGTTCTTACCAGAAGTGGTATATAAAGAAGGAATATAAAGGATGTGAATGATGGCACTAGTTTTTACTTATATAAAACAGTATTATTTTTTCTTTGGTGTTTCCATTATGTTTCTCTTCAATCCAGGCGCTAGGAAAACAAGGCTAGGAATCAACAGTCAGACACGGGGCAATTACTCTTAAAATGGTTGTTACAAATTTTTTTTTCCCCCAAATACCACTAGACTTTACCATACACAGTTGATCACCAAGAAACTGAACTACTGTGGTCAAAGTTAAATGCATATCTTATACCTGATTATGTGAGATGACAACCTAAATAAGTACATGCACAGCTATTATCGTGTCACCATTTCAAACCTCATTAGGTGTGATAGCTTTGGGATTTCAGATTTTATTTTAATGAAATATAATCTTAATGGAACACTGTGAGGTATATTTATAGTTATGTATCAGTTTGGCATTTGGCTTTGCCCCCAGGGAACAAAAGGGTGGTAGATACTTATGTTAAGCCAAATGACAGAAAGGAAACTCTGTAACAGCAAAGGAAAGAATAGAAAACAACAGCACCACAGATCTGGAAGTAGCACAAGGAACTGGGAGCACATTTTAAGTCTGACCTCTGCCCATTTTCATGGTTTAGAACAGGAGTAGCTTAGATTTGTGGTTTCTGTAGCAGAAGAGGAGGGGAGAGGTTAAAGTGCTAATGGGGAATATTTTTGTTGAGATAAAACATCTCTATATAAAAACAACTTCAATTTAATATTAGGAAAAAGCATTTTATAGGTTAAATACTGAAGTTTCAAACTCAGATGTTACCTAATCATGTGCCTACCAATTCCCTTTTATAATGTATTGATAGGTGTCTCAAAACAAGCTTTGAGTACAACTCCACATTAGCAATAGTTCTGTACAAAGCTGTTCTGACTTGGCTCCCCACGTCAAGCACATTCTGTTCAGTCAAACAGCTTCATGAAAGCTATTATCAATTTTCAGACTAGTGAAATGATTTCATATCCAAAACGAACACACACAGAAACCAGTAACGGTCCATTTCATTAGCAACACATGCAGAGGAAGAAAACATTGACAAGGGCTTGCACATATTTACTCACTGTTTATTTACAAACACCATTAATGTTTCTGGGAAATCTAAAGTTTTGCCAGGAGTGCCATTAACACAATTGAAAATCTTCCTCTAGATACCCATCCACCATCACCCCCAGCTTAGCTCCTAGACTACAGTCGTCACTGCCTGGTTCTTTTGCAAAGTAGAGAATAAAAGCAATAGACAGATGGAAATCCCACTGCGAACACATCTCTTTCTCTCAGTTTTCCATTAATAACAATTTGGAGAAAACAACCCTCAACAAACAAACAGCCCACACAGTCCATGTTAAAGAGCCACCCTTCTGAGGGTATTCCAAGCAAAAGCAAGTGTTTCACACAAGTTGCTCACTAGGGCACTGTCCTGGGTTCAGCAGTAGCAGTCATTTTTTCTCTTTCTTGGTAGCTGGTGCAGTGCAGTGTTTTGACTTTCAGCTCGGGAACAGAGCTGATAACAAGGATGTTTTGGTTTGGCCAAGGACTTTGTGAGCCTCATGCTCTGCCAGGGAGGAGGGGAAGCCAGGAGGAAGCAGAGACAGGACACCTGACCCAAACTGACCAAAGAGGTATTCCATACCACAGCACGTCATGCCCAGGATGTAACTGGGAGTTAGCCGGAAGGGCTGGGAGACTGCAGGGTTGGAGGAAGTATTGGTCGGAGCTTGGTCGGGCTTGGGGGGTGAGTTATCGGTCAGCGGGTAGTGAGATGTTGTATTCTCTTCCCTTGTTATTTCCTTTATCATTATTATCATTGGTGGTAGCAGTAGTGATCTGTGTTATACCTAAATATAACCTTAGTTACTAAACTGTTCTTATCTCAACCCGTGGGAGTTGCATTCTTTTGATTCTCCTCTCCGTCCCTCCGAGAGCAGGGGGAGGGCAAGAAAGGGGGGGAAGTGAGCGAACGAATTACCTGACTGGGTTTAAACCACGACAGGCACACTGACTGGGGCTTAGGACACCACCTGCAGCTCAGATGAAAGCAGTTTATTATAGTTGCTCTCAAGAAATGTAACTATTTTAAGAGATCAAACCATTACAAGCCTGTTAACATATATCTCCTGTCCTTAGTCTGAAAATACTTCACTGACCATTTCCTTAACATATAACCCGCAGCACACCCATAGCCCATTCAACTGAACCTCATAAAGCATAAATATACGTGGTCAACATAAATTTTTTCACGTCCAAATCAAAGATACAGCACTATTTCCCTGCCTTCTCCCCAAACCCAGCTGCATACACAAAGGTTGGCTCAGCCACAAGCTCCTACCTGCCTCCTGCCTTGCAAAGAAACAAATCCCATCTTGCAGCCCGGAGAGAGCGGAGCTTGTGTAGGCCAAGAACACAAGTACCCCACATGCTGACCAGGAGAAAAAGCTCTTTGCAGCTGCTGGAAGGGAAGTGCAGCCAGGCAAGAGTGAGCTGAAGATGGGGAGGACCCTCAGCTGCAGGTGATTAACAACTTCACCAGCACACTCAGGGGACAGATGGCTGTGTGTCTGCACAAGAGCTGCCTCTGTGGCCTTTCAGTGGGTTATGATACAGCTGAGCTTATTTATTTGATTGGAACTCAAACATTTCGTTTGCCTGTTGTTACACTGTAGTTTTATACAGTTTTTCTACCATATCCATATAGTGGGTTTAATCCATACGAAGAAGTTCTGTTATGCTCAATGCTTCTTATGCACGTGAGGGAGATAACATACGGTTTTCTACATATGATCCTTGTACCAAATGTCAGGAGTTGCACAATACTAATGAGCAGAAAAGGACTGCTTTATTCTCCATTTCCATTTTGATTCACTTTAGCAAGGACTAAAATTAGCTCTAACAATGCACCCGGTGCATTAGACCCCACACAGCTTTTTCAAGTGTTATTTGCATTTCGTATCGCTCTACCCAAAAGACAAACACACTTCTACATGTACGGGATAAAATCCCTTATCTGCAGCTGAAACGTGGGCTGACCAAGGTACACGTGCAAAGCAGTGAGTTTAGAAAGATGAGAAATGCCCCAAAGGCCACTCTGTTCCCTTAGCCCTATGCTAAAGGCTGATCAGATGTCCAAATACCCCTGCAATCACTAATGGCAGGTAGGGAGCGTTTTTCGTATCAGAGAATTGTCATCATGTACATTAACAAAAGGGATTAAACAAAAAAGGAGAAAAGATCAATGAAGCAATGCAAGGATTTCATGGAGTCCTTTATGCATATATCCCAAATGGACTGGGCAGGTCTGCGGCTAAGTGAGACCACCAAGTGTAGGTTTACTAAACTCACACAGAGCCACATGTGCCAGGTAACCAAGAATCTGGAGGTGAGGTGATCATGCCTTCTTTGCATTTTCTGTTATTTCCTGCAGAAAACCACACAAAATCTACAGGCTTTAGTGGTTTCTATTGCTGGAAAGCCATTCTCTGTGTCACTATTCCCCTTTCACCCTTCAGCACATTCAATGTCCAGCTAATATCTCCTGTCCTTAGTCTGAAAATACTTCACTGACCATTTCCTTAACATGGCACAAACCTGAGACCTTGATCTGCTCTGCTGAAGTCAGTGGAAATTTTTCAGCCCTTCACTATGGCTCAGGAGAAATAAAGCTGTCTTCACTGAACCATCTGAGATGAGTTTTCTCTGCCCTTACGAGTAGCATCGTGGATGCTGCATTCACAAGGATTTAGGGGGAAAACCACATGAATATTTTGCTCAATGAAAGCATAAATGGTACAGGTAATGCAATGCCAAACAGCACTGCTCAACTCTGTATTGTAGTCTTTAATTCTGTCTTGGGGGAGAGAAGGCCATTCAGTGCCTTACCCAGTAACTGGAGATAGTACTGTGAACAGGAGGAACTTGTGTGCAAAGGTTTCAATACATTCATTGCCACAGAGCAAAAGGAAAATGAAAAACAGTCCTTAAAAGCCAAAAGAGTTCAAAAGCAGTTTTCCTGAGCCAGAATTTGTTATGAATAGCTAGTACTAAGACAGTAAATGCTTCACTGAAGAAAGGTTTCAACTAAAAAAGGTATGCCTTTATTCCTTTTGCATGAGCTCTGACTCCATTCTGTTGATTCTGCCTCTTTCTGTCTATGTTAAGGAAAGTAAAATGATGAGTGGAGCTGGGCAAGTTTAATAGCTGGGCTCAATTCCTGCATTTTAAACAGTTCCTTTATCTGAAGGACATCTGCAAATTGAGGAATCAAACTTGGAATCTAAGCAAAACAAACTTTGTGGTATTATCCAACAGAGTGAAAAAGGCGTGAAAATATCCTGTCTCACTCCCATCCCCTTCCCATGCGAATTCACGTTGAAAGAAAATAAAATCCTTCTATCTCAACTAAAGTCTGCCTTCTGGAATGTATTCTGAAGTAATGTGCCTCTATTTAAACCAGATTTGCTTCTCCTGTGTCATGCTGAAGTAATGTCAAACATGGATCTGACTTGAATGACATTACAGAGCTGGGGGTAGTTTCAGTGCTTGCACTGCCAAGCTGGACTTAACTGGAATCAGAAAGTCTTGATGGTACAATCTGAGAAAAGCACTTTTGTTGCTCTGATGCTTACAGGCTAGAAAATCCACTCATCAAATTAACATTATGATAATCATCATAATAATAAAACCATAATGCAAGTAAGCTAGTGCTTCCCTAGAGTGCCAGGATCACCTTCTGCTCGCTGATGAAGACTGCTACAGAATCCTGCTTTGATCTCCATCACTATTGATCGTGTGGGATATTTCACTGATTCACTGAGGCTGTACCCTCAGTAAAACTTACATGAATTATTAATAACTGTGTTGATTCTTATTAACAAAGAGACCGATTTTTGTCAATCTGTTACAAGTCACTGTGCTACAGGCGCTGACAGCAGCTGCAAAAACACCAAACATTTATTAATACCATCAGAACAAAGGTTGAGTATAAAAACTGGAAACTCACTCAAAAGACCCCTGGGCATATAGATTTTATCCAGTTTAATTTTGCATGCACGGGCATTCCCATAGAACTCAGGATTTATACACTGGCTACTTGCTTTGAATGAATTAGCAACCCAAGTTCAATTCTGCTTAGAAAGTCAATGAAATTCACAGCCATGCAACTGATGCCCTGCTCTTAAAGACTGGAAGTATCGTATTTGTGTATCAAACTTTATTGACAGCAACTCTGTGCTCAAGCCCAGGGCTGAACTATGTGGCAAGGGGCTATCAATGAGGATGCTAATTCACTGCAACAGATTAGAGGGGTCTGTGAGTCTCTCATTTTACAAATGTAACTATATGATATACATCAGCAGAATTCCTAAGGGCTAGCAGCTCTAGTGTGCCATGGGGCTGGATACACTCTCTGTGGGGAAAGGGGTCACTGCTGCTTCCACTCAGCTCTTCCTGATGCTCTCTACACAGCTACTGAAAGTAAAAACTAGTATGTCAAGCACTTGACAGGATAACCACAGAAGTCATGGTCAGACAGGCGCCTGTGAGCATGTTTGAGTGAAAGCCCACCTATGGAGCTGTAAAGCATCACCTTTGAAAATTACCTTTTAAAAGGTCATTTCTCTCCAACCTTAGGGGCTGCTTAACATAGCCACTGTCTTTAAAGGCTGCAGTGTTCAGAGCTGTTCTTCCAGATACATGCTGGAAATCCAACCGTGGAGCAAAACACAGTAAGCTGAGTGCAAAGATAATCATGCCCCAGTGCCCTCTGGCCTTCAGGGCTTTCTCCCAGGAATTGAGTTCACGGAGGATCCAGAAGCTTTCATCACCCACCCCTCCTTGAACTTATGAGGACAGTCACAAAAATCATCTTAAGACAGACTGCTTTTTATGTCATTAAAGCACCGCTGTTCACTGCACCCAATCACAGTAATGTTTGTACCCTATATATACAGCATCTCAGTGCACCACCTATTCCACAACATCATTTATGTTGGAAAAGACCCTAAAGATCATCAAATCCAGCCAATGAATGCTTCCATTCCAAGCTGGAGTTCACTGGCAGGATGTTTATACATTAACTGCCAGTATTTCACTCTGGAGGCAGAACTGGCTGGCTATTCTAATGCCAATCATCCACTGACATAGTGAAAACAAACTTTTATCTGTGCTGGGGTTTGTTATTCATTCAGAATTCTTTGCCCACCTGCTTGATTGACTTATTCCTAATCAGAAAACAACCTTTTACATTGTTAAGATGATGAAATATCATAGATGGAAAGAGGGGGAGTCGAGTTTGCTGCTCACCATGAACATGTTCCTGGTGTAGAAACACAAGGTGGCCTCATAATTTAAAAGCTGACTGAAGTTTAGAAGCTGTGGACTCAGTTCTCAACCGTGATTTACCCTCACTCCAATGCTTGTTCTGCCTCCTTCATAGCATCATAGAATCGACACCTCACACTAAACCATATCACCCAAGGCCTCGTCCAACCTGGTCTTGAACACTGCCAGAGATGGAGCATTCACAACCTCCCTGGGCAACCCATTCCAGTGCCTCCCCACCCTCACAGGAAAGAACTTCTTCCTTATACCCAATCTAAACTTCCCCTGCTTAAGTTTGAACCCGTTACCCCTTGTCCTATCACTACAGTCCCTAACGAAGAGTCCCTCCCCAGCATCCCTATAGACCCCCTTCAGATACTGGAAGGCTGCTATCTTCTTTGATTAGGCATTGACCATGAATGGACTATTTTCCCCTGGGAAATAGGGAGAGAATCTAATACAGTCTGGATCTGAACTCCACTGCTTCTCCCTGAGAACAGTTCCACAGAAAGAGACAGTTTTCTGCATATCACTTTTTTCACTGCAGTTTTTTTCAACTGTACAGCCTTATTTAAGCAAGTATTATTTATTCCTTTCCTTCCTTCTTCATACAGGAGTCTTGTCAGCCTGCCGTGTTACGAGCACCAACCACCACAACAAACTACACTGCAGAAAGGGGTCGATATTCATGTTACCACTTTACTGCTGTAGACTTTTAGAGGTTTTCTTGGTAGAAACTGAGTTAAAGTAACTGGGCTGAGCATAAGGAAGGAATGAAATGACTCCACCATTTAAAAAAGATAACCTCTGTTTGGAATGCTAAAAAGCCATTACAAGAGGCTGGGTAGACTGAACGGGAAGAAATAGATTAATAGATCTCCATGTGAGTATAATTGATTTTGGGCATGTACTCTACAAACCCTTCACCAATGATTTATCTTCATTTGGTAGGTATAACACCAAGTTCAGTCAGATCCTTAGAGAGACATCCATCAAAACATATCATAAACAAAAAGAAGTGATACTTTTGCTTTGTATTTTATCTTTCCCTTTTCTTTCATATGTGACTTAATCAAACATAAGATCACTTTTCTTCTAAAAATGAATAAATCTCTGTTAGTTATTGCAGTAATTCTAGGTCAGCTAACCCACCAGTATACGTAACAATTGCATTTTATTATGATCTTCCTTTTCTCTGGGTTTATGGCAACTCACCAGCCAAGAAACTGAGGAATAGAATGGTTTGGACAGCTGAACAGAATTAACAACTGTCAATTCATGTGCCCATGCACAGCCCTCAACTTACAGTCTGTATACAGAATACCAGGCATTTTCAGTATCTCCAGTCATATCAGCCAGTGGTGAGACCCAGCACATCACACACTGAGCTGTTACTGTCTAAGCCAGCTCCAAAGCTGATAATGCATCTCCCACTGCTACAACTCCAGCTCTCCTCAGACTCTGCACTATGAGAAGGGAGAGTTAATGCCATATATAAACTGCTGCTGATGAAGCTTAAGCAATCTTTCATGCTGTAGCTATTTTTGTGCAAGGAACATATTCTGTAAGGCTTAATACTTGGTACTTTAACAGGGCTCATCATTCTGGTAATGAACAAAATAGGAGAGACAGCTATTAATAAAAGTTGAGCGCCTGAATGCCTCCAGCATGCTCCTTCTGTCTCCAAGCAAAAGTGCCATGGGAAGGAAGCCACGATCAAGGCTTTCTTCACTTTCCTCCAGGAAAAACTGCTGAGGAAGACTTTAAAAAGCAGTTTCTGCAAGGGAACCTTGCAGACATCTTACCCACAACTAGCAGCAAAGCACAGCACCAGGCTTCATTCCTACTGCTACAGCCTTCAGCCTGCAGTTTAGCCCTGCTTAAACCCCACACCAATACTCTTGGTTGCTCAGTGCAATAGGCTGGACCTACATTTTGCACTCTGCTTCTTGCTTCTTATACAGAAAAGCTAAGGTAGAAAGACATCTTTGGTGATCATATAGTCCAATCGCCACTCGGAGCATGTCAGAGCAGGTTGTGTCCAGGGAGCACGTTACTCCAGACTGCTTCCAGTCGGGTTTTGAGTATCTCCAAGGATTTCTTTTTCTTCTCCCTTCCCCTTCTGCTTCTCTCCTTCCCACTTTTCTTTTCCTTTCTCTTTCTTTTCTTTTCCTTTCCTTTCTCCATTGCTTTTCTTTCTTCTTTGCTTTCCCTTCCCTTTCCTTTTCCCTTCCCCCTACCCTTCTCCTCCCTGTTCCCTCACTTTTGGGACCTAAAAGAAAGGTGTGTTTAATCATCAAAATGAATTCTTCTGGAAGAAAGCAGAATCCAATCTGATTTCTAAACCAGAAACACTGGTTATGATCATCTAAAGAGTTGCAGAAACCATACTCTGTGACTTAGATGACCAAATATTTTGCTCTAATGGAGATTAACCATGGAGAATAACGGCATTCAACCTTTAATCTGCAATTTTGTACAGACCAATGCATCTTAAATTGACAATTTCAAAAGGCCAAACACCACTGTCAAAACCTGCAAACTATTAAAATAAACTGCAACAAACAACTATTTCTTCAAGGGACTTGCCATAAACTAATCACTCAGCTGTCTCATGTACATATGGGGCCATGTACAGCTACACAGTGCCCTATTAGTACTCTACAAAGAGGCAGTAAAATACCAGTTTTATTCACCACAGAAAACCTTCTATTAAAAATGATGGCTCCTGCCTTCTATTTTATGAATATTTAAAAACTGTAAGTGCTCTTTTTATGTTCTTCATCATTGCATACTACAGTTCCCTTAGTGTTCAATGTGCTGATTTATCCCTACCGAAACTGAAAAATAATAGATAAGAGACCCACAGCATTATTAATTACCACAGGTGTTAATCAGATGTTACACACTGGAACAAGACAGATGGGGAGACAAACAGCAGTAGGACAGACAGGTATGGCTGAGTACCTTGCACTGTCCTGTAAAGACAGATGATGCATCATTGTTTGTGTAAGCTGATAGAGAATGACCTTGTCATAGAAGACACACTGTGGTAAGAAATACTGAGACAAGTATGAGACACTAAAAACACATTAGAAATGTAAAAACAAAGAAGCAAATACTTCCTCAGCTCAACTGAGTGCATTAACTGAAACAAATGAAACATGCCAACTGAAGGAAGGAACGGCATCTGTGGTGTGTGACAATGATTGCCATTTGGAAAGCTGGCTAGATGGCTTCCCACAGCTCCTGTTCACTTTGGCTAATTGTCTCCCAGCAGTATGGAATGAGAACATCAAAGGTTTCTCATGCCTTTGGTTCTCCCTTCCCTTTAATTGCTATTTTGTTTTTAAATCACTGGCAGATGTGGAGCCTGGTTATGCATTCTGTATTAACCAGGCAAAATAGGAGTGGCAATGGGAAGCAAACCCCAAGCCCATCCATCCCAGCTCTGTCCAAGCCCATGGTCTGTAGGCTCTGCTCCATCTCACTCCTTTGTCAGCCCCCTGCTTGTTGTCATCGATGCCATGTGGGAGCCCAGCATCAGGGGAGGATGGTGCTTGCCAGCAACCTCCTGGGCAGGTGTGCTCCTCAAAGAAGGTAGTACTGGTGTGACCAGATCCAACTTCTCCCTTCTTGGACATGTACATGGGATAACTGAAAGGTTACCATGCTGTGACGCAAGTTAGGTGAATAATGGGAAAGGCAAGTATTTTGATACTTTGCGCAACTACACACTTGGGTTTGCAGGAGTAAAATGAAACAATTTAATGGAGTTCCATAATGACATGAAAGTGCTGAGATATCAAGTACCCAGAGAGCCTTTGTGCTAAGATAAACAAAACCCTTCCAAACCAAGACTTTCTGATGTGAGATAAAACAAAAAGAAAATAAAAAGAGAAGAAAAAGGTTAAATATTCACAATTTCTTTTAAAAAAAGCTTTCCTTTGCTATGATTAGGTTTGTGGCCAGGTGTGTGTGCAGATACCCCAGTTTCTGCTTTTATCATGTCATTTGGTCAGTCTCCTAAAATACTCTGCAGTTGAACAGCACTTCCTAAGAAAGCACACTGATACAGGGGAACTGCACTAAGGCAGGACCCTTAACCTGAGCCTCTTGGACACAGGCTGGGCTGGAGTTGTTTCTGCTTTGCCTTCAGGAGTTTGCCTTGAGTACACACGTTCAAATAAGGATTTCTTGTGCTTTGTCTTAAGAGACCACAACACAGTAACACAGCTCCTGGCACACGGAGTGAGTTGAAACTGATCTAGCAAGCACTTCACGTGACAGCATAAATCCCCAAAGCAGAGCTTGACTGCATCTCTTGGATGATGTTATATACAGCAGGGAAGCTCTGTATCATTTTCCCTGTTGCTGTTCTGGCACACCTACTTGCAGTTCTCTAAGAAATGAGAGAAAAGCAGTTTTCCCTGCCAAACCTTTACAGGATTGTTCTTATT